GAAATGATCACAGGTCAAATAATAGAAATCAGCTTAAGATGACATCTCTTTCTAAAGTGGTGGAGTGGTGGATGTTAAAGACGAGACTAAAAAACCGAGCAACATATCATTACGTTAATCATACAGTATTTAAGTAGAAATTATAGAAATATTAAAATCATCCAGGGATTTTTCTTTTAAATTGTAATGTCAAAAAAGAAAACAAAATGTATATAACAAACCAAAAAGGTATATGATAAGGATTCAATACTTCCACCTCTTACTGAAACAAACATTCCTAGCCTATCAAACATTTACATAACGCAGCAGGATGTACTTGAATCATTACCCTTAATAGATCCCTCAAAAGCATGTGGCCCAGACCTTGTAAGCCCTAAATTACTACGAGAAGCCGCGCCTGTTTTAGCCAGTCCACTCGCAGCCTTTTATAACAAGCTTATTCGTTCTTCTTCCTGTCCTACACCCTGGAAACTTGCTAATGTAACTCCTATTTTTAAGAAATCTGATCCAACACGTCCCGAAAATTACCGCCCTATCTCATTGTTAAGCTGTATCGGAAAATTGATGGAAAGATGTGTTCATAAGTATCTGTATAATCATCTTGTCACTAATAATTTGCTTACTCCTCACCAATCAGGTTTTATAAGAAGTGACTCAACAGTTAATCAATTAGTTTACCTATTCAATGATATTTGTCAAGCTCTCGATCAGGGTAAAGAGGTTAGGGCTGTATTTTGTGACATCTCCAAAACCTTTGATCGAGTATAGCATCTAGGTCTTCTCTTCAAACTATCTTCATTGGGTTTAAATGGATCGCTTCTTCAATGGTTCTCCTCCTATTTGTCTTGCAGGCGACAAAGAGTCCAGTACAGAAATGTATCCTCAGCATGGGTTTCTATCTCCGCAGGTGTCCCTCAAGGTTCAATTCTTGGTCCCCTTTTGTTTCTTGTTTACATCAATGATATCGTAAATGACATATCTTCTAACATAAAACTTTTTGCGGATGACACGAGTTTGTATACTCGTAGATAACCCACTTACTGCAGCAACCAGTCTTAACTCAGACTTAGATCGGATACATTCTTGAGCCAATACTTGGCCTGTTTCTTTTAATCCAGAAAAAACAAAAACAATTACTCTTTCAAGGAAATTATCTAAACCGTCTCATCCTACACTTAGTTATAACTCTATACCAATATCTCAGGTCACATCACATAAACATCTTGGTGTTACTTTATCTCATGATGCCCGTTGGAAAACCCATATTCATCTATTACTTGATAAGGCCTGGAAAAGAATCGGACTACTCAGAAGTTTTAAATTTCTTTTATCACGAATAAGTTAAGAACGCATGTATTATTCATTCGTCCGCCTTCTTCTTGAATATGCTGATGTAGTCTAGGATAACTTAACTAACGAACTAAATAAAGAAATAGAATCCGTTCACAATGAAGCAGCTAGAATAGTCGCAGGCGCTACCAAACTGTGTAATATTAACAAACTCATCAGTGAACTTGGGTGGGAATCATTAGAAAATAGAAGAAATAAACACAAATTAATCTTATTGTATAAAATGAAAAACCATATATCACCTTCTTATCTTTCAAATCTTCTAACTCCCACCCAACAAAGTACATATAACCTTAGACATATTGACGATTTAACTCCAGTTCCAACCAGAACACTTTTATACTCAAAATCATTTCTACCTTCTACTATTCGCACCTGGAATTCTCTTCCTGAAACTCTTCGATCTAGTCCAACTTTAAACATATTTAAGTCCAAAATAACCCCTAAATATCAAAAGACCACCGCCTTACTATAATACAGGCACAAAATCAAATCCTGGACACAAGATTAAGATTAGGATGTAGTTCATTGAACGAGGGTCTGTTCAGAAGGTCTATTGTGAAAAGTCCAACATACAAATGCGGAATGAGAGAAACTGTATCTCACTTCTTATTGCAATGTACCAAATACAGAAATATACGCGAAAGATTTCTCACTAATTTAAATTGTCCGGCTACAGTAAATAATCTTCTTTACGGTAACGAACGTCTCTCTTCTGATGAAAACAAAACCCCCTTTCAGAATGTCCAAAAATTTATTACACAATCGAAGCGCTTTTTGTAAGAATTACTATCAGTGTGAATAAACTTGGCCTTTCCGTACGCTCATATTTCCTTACATGTTAATCTTAATTATTAAACTCCGGTATATATATTCAATCACACCTTTCCTTACATTCTTCCTTTCTTTTAACATTTCACCATAATTTACCTTAGTTTTTCTATAGTGATAATTCAACAATCAACAATAATAACCCAAAATTTAAAGGACTACTTTCTGCAAGAATGTTCATCAAATATATAAACATTTCAAAGCTCCGATGTTAAAGCAACTGAAACAGTATTTGGGCTGAAAGATACATAAATATTATAAACATTAGATTATTTAGATTTGCGTTAGCCACAAAAGTTTCCAAACAGTCATAATGCTAATTATTACATGGGGAAGGTAACATAGCAATTATGGAGAAGGAAGACTGTGTTTGATTTGTCAGAAGGAAACTTACATTAAAACAAAGCATACGGTTCATAAAGAAATTGTATTTCCATAAAAATATTGCATTGTAACATAAGTTAACAAATTTTATATATTCAGAATAGTTGTAACTCAATTTGATGCGATCAAATAGATCAGAATAACTTAGATAAATTAAAGTGTAGCTTAATGTAGTCCGCTACGGTTCCAGTACGGACACACAATGGTAAGAGTACAGAGTTCGAGGGATTTACCACCAAAAGCCCCGGGAGATCCACGGATTGTTACGGACCGAAACGGTTCGATACGGAGCGACACGAATCAGGACGGACGCACTACGGATACACTACGGTCTGCGAAGGTATTAGCACGGGTAAGTACAAATAAGTACGGTCTGATACGGAGAAGAACGAATTGATACGGAGAAGAACAAATTGCCAAGGATCTATACGGACCTATTATATCCGTCCACAACTCCTTGCATTCTCATTTTCAAAATGCCTCACAAGAAAAGAACACTTAGAAAACGAATTGCAGAGTTCAATGATTTTGGCGGAAAGGATTCGGCCTCATCGCGTCCGACCCCGAGACATATCAGGTCCGATTATAGTAAATTTCTTGAAGGACGCCGGATCCTAAACAAATTCGGACATGAGAGCCTCATACTAAACATGAAGGGGTCTTCGTAGAAGCTCATCTTTAGTCCACCATTTCCTCTGTCTTACCTGATTAGATAATTATGGACTATTAGTCATTAATGTTGATCAATACTGCTTTACTTTTGATTTCATTTTACAATTACATTAATTATCGTGAATGTCTATGTTTTAAGAATATGTAAAAATCTTGTTAATCTTATTATCACTAAAGGGCCAGCGTCCGAGGCTTATGAGACAATTCGTTTAATGTACATATTTACTCCAATTTCACGATCCAATGTTTTTTTTAAAAATATGTAAGATTAAAGTGTTATTCTTTTACTTATTATTGTACGATATTAACACATCTTTTTCTCTATGCATGTCATCAAGCAACTCGACCACTATCTCCGCATTCTGAGCCATATCAATAAACAGTTGCAGCCAGTTAATGGCAATTATCATTTATAGAATGTTCACGCAAATGTGTATTTTTTAACAATCTTGGCTTTCCGTGGCAATGCAGTATTAATCCGTATTAAAACCGTAGCTTAAACGTAGGGTAACCGTACAAATACATAGTTATCCGTTCCAAACCGTGGAAATCCTTGACAAGTTCGAGCCTACGAATCAGTACGGACTAGTACGGTTTCCGCACGGACCAGTGCGTATCAGTACGGTTTAATACAACTAATGGGTATACGCACGTTGATTTTTCCGTAGAAAATTTGTGTGCATGTTCAAAAATTGTCAAGGATCGCTACGGATATACAAGGACTACTACGATTGATTACGGTTACAATACGTAGAGCTACTGACAAGTACGGATAGCTACGGACGATTCCGGAATAAATCCGTGGGTTTTCCGTGGGCGTTTTCCGTGAAAATGTGACCGTGGTATAACGGGAAAAGGAAAAAAACGATGCAACGGAAAGTTTTATTCCATTTCATTTACAAATATGCGCACAGAGCAGGACATATATTTATCATTAAGATATCGAACAATTAGAGAAAATAAGAATCCCTAAAGAAAGTCTGATTGAGCCTGTTCATGGACGGTGCTGTCAAGTGCAAACTACCCTCCACGCCCCCTAGCACTGACTTAAGCAGAATTCAATATTTAACATGAACTAGCACAATTTTGAATTTTGAAACATCCGCAGATGTGTTCCTTTTGCGGATAAAGACATAACGAAGACATAGCAAATTAATTTCGGTAATTGACGCGGTTTTTTTGTGGTGACCAAATGATAACCTGAACTAATACCACCTGATCACACACCCTGTTTTTTGTTATTTTGAAAAACATAACTGCAAAGTACATGGTTTTTTTTGTTTGCTCTTAATGACAAACGGCATATTCATGAATTAGTTAAATTCGTAAAAATTGTAATAAAAAGACAGCATACTATTTTATCTGGATTATTTCATTTTGTTTACGCCCAATAAAAGAAACATAATTCTATGTTACAAATATCCAAAATATCTATCATTAAATTAAGAAAACATAATTGTTTCACCATTTATGATATTTATGAAAATATTTTTGAGATATAGCTTTAAACAATTGAACATTGATAACACAATACCTTGTATCAGATTATATTGCCAAATTAAAAGAGGTTTTGTTATTGGCACCAAATGAAATGTTTATCTTTAGTGACATTTTAACTAATATTATGAACATTCTTATATTAAATAACAAAATGTTGTTGTATTGTAAGGATTTCATAATAATTCTTCATAAATTGTATATTTGTTTGATATCAATCCTACAATAATTCTACATAAATGGTACATTTAATTTTACAGGTTTGACATCATAATAACAAACACTTGTGAAATGTAATGTTTAGTCATGGCTGCTGCTCAACCTGGAACATCATCTTCAGCACAGGCATCAGACAATCGTATCTTCCAATTCCGTCTACAAATGCTAATTATTGATGGTGGACTCGCAGTTTTAAGAAATTATGTAGACCAGGAACTTTTAGCTCAATCTATTACTCTTAGTGGATGTCTTGCAAACGAAAAGACTACTATCAAACTTTTAAAGGGACGTAAGACAATAACACAGGTGCAATATGATTTACTGTATCCATCGAATGGCACTGTTTCAACGTCAGATTTGGACATCACACTTATCATTTGTCTCATGAGGAACCTAAAATGTTTCAAGTTAAATAAAAAGTACAATTGGAACATTTTACCAGGACAAAGTGATACTTCTATCGAGGCAGACATTTGTAGACTGAAGAATTACAGAAATGAAGTAAGAACAGGCTTATGTTTAATTTAAATGATAAATGAACTAAGGTAGCAGACTAAAGTTAACTTAATATGTCTTATTATTTGTTCAGATAATAATGGAACTCGAAAGTAAGACCGGGAAAAATTCTCAAAGAGTTCTCATATAAGTTATTCTGTCAAGGCGATTGGTTTCATTGTTCTTTTATTTAAAGGGAGGTATTCAAAATTAAACAAGTATTGATAGAAATAGAAATCAATTGACTTTTATCTGTGAAAGACAAGCATTTAGCAGTAACGATTTTATATCTTCAGATTTGTCATATATCGACCACTACAGGGATACAATATAACGATTTTATAACCAAGTGGAAAGAAATCGAACAGGTTTATATTAAATTTTAAATCTCAATTTAAGACTTATTCTACAGTGCATGTCTTTCTTTATCTAAACAGAAACAATAAGGCTTTTGCCACCAACATAGATCCAACTCTGTCTGTATAACTGTGCAATGAAGCTTTCATATTGCTGTTTAACCATCTTTCAAATCTTATTTTGTCCCAAATGTTGATTAATATTTGTTTCAAAATGGCACGCGTCTGCAATTGAAGTGTACTGTCATGTTAAATAGCAGGAACATTTATTACTGAATTACATACGTTATCAGCCAAACACTGTTAAGCCAGTATGTTAGATTTAATGCAACGTGTATATCTAATATTGAATGACGATATAATCATCAAATTCATTTATTTACTGATTGTGTATTTGTTTTTATCAGGTTTTGGTTTAACTTTAGTATTTTCCATTGTTTGAATACTTATGACACAAAAAGTATAGCAAATAAAATAGTAAACGTAGGAAATTCATTCACATGAACTTAATTGCCTACATCATCAAGACAGATCTCCAAAAAACAAATGCCAGGATATTGTACTTTGAATGTGATGAAAATATTAATCATATGAAATAATTTTTTTTATGTATATTCCCTTCTTGACAAACGTTTGCAAACTATCATTAACATAATAAGCACGCCGATGCCATTTGCAGATTCTCCTTAGATTTGATAAAGTGTATCCCATCAAAGACTTTCACCAGACAATTACTGACTTTGAATATAGCCCTCTTGATCCACAAACAGAACAGAGGGTAACAGATGAAATTGAAAAGTGGGAAAAACAGGATAAGGCAATAGTCGATGATCTAGAGTTTCTGAAATCTGGTCATAAAGTTTTGCAGGAGGCTATTGAAGACTTAAAGACTAAAGGTAAAGTTGTTTTAAGTTGGTAACAACAAAGGTGTGAACAAATAATACGTGCTTAATTGACATGCCTTATAATCGTTGTTCTTAGTACTGATTCCTTAAAACTGTTCAAATAAGAATTTAAATCGTCTAAAGAACATGCAGAATCACGTTTTTTATGCTCAAAGCGTTTTAACGAAGTTGTTGTCTGTGCGAACGTATATGCTAAAGTTTTTATATGACAACAAACATTATGGCCATGTGTTTTGAACAGCAATCAAGTTTTAGGTCAAATTAATAAAAGCATCAGTTTTGTTTTAATTAATTTGATTCGTACTTTAATAAGGTTAAATTTTATTTTGTAATTGTCAATATATTTGTTTAAATATAATGATCTACCATTTTTTTTTAATATGAAGTGGTAACAAACGTACAGATGACCAAATGAATTCACGAAACTAATTATTGCATGTGTTATTTTTCATGAAGGTTTAAATGTTATACTTATTATTTACTTACTCACATATACCATAAATCTTATTTACAATATACATACATATGTTCAAACTCAGATATCTAAATTTAATTTAACATTCATGGGCATTGAATTTGTCTTTGAAAGTTTACCATGCTGCTAACAATTTTCAAATGGTTATACATTTTCGACTTTAACTGACCTGATTTTGCGCGCATCATTCGTCCTTTTATATCTGAACATAAGTTTATATAAAATATTAATACATGTAGGGGGTTTTGATCTTAAGAATTGTTTCAGGTGTGCAATAATGGTTTGTACCAAGTTATACGACAATACCTCTATGCATGTATAAAAAAATTGTTTTTCGGACAAATGAAGACGCAAATACCTCCCATTCACCAGGATGGGTCCAACGATGTTTCTTATTATTTATTTAAATGAGTATATAAATAAAAACAAAAAAGTTCCTCTGTACCAATGTTTAAAAAAAATTCAAACATAATTAATTGTTGTGATAACCACTTTAATATCATATTTCTTCTAACAAGATAGCAATGGTCTTTAAATTAAACTTCAAATCGAGTTTTGTTCATCGACTTCATATTTTCATCATCACAATTGACATTTACATTTCAAGAAATATATAACAGCATTTAACAATTCTAAATTATTAATTTTAGATACAATTCTGTGGTGAAAACATTTTTTTTTTCAGATGAAAGAAGGCATGAAAACAGAAGGAAGGGAGCTCTTTTTCAAAGGGGTTTTGAGTGGATACGTTATCGCCATGCAAAAAAAAGTAAGATTGTATTTAAATATTTAGAAGTCAAACTGATGATTCTCCGAGCAATTGGATCACCGCCGCTATTATTCATAATATCCTTGGAGATAAAGTTCTACCACTTGGTTTTAGATGTACATAAAACCAGAGGGTGTAATCTTTGTACAGACGCAATCAAAAATGAGTCTGCAATTTCATGTAGTTTGTTTGTGTGTTATTCCTCCGGGGGCCACTATTTAACCAATGATAATGATTTACATTTGACTTCAAAATGACAAGAGCCTGTTGAACCTGGTCATGCTCCCCGAGCAGGTTTTAGTCACAGAAAAATATGCCTCATGTAGTGTTAGTGTTATGTCCCTGACAAAGTTCAACCAGGAAAAATGAAGAAAGGGGCAAGGCAGAGTTAAGGTTCTTTTGCACTGCGCTTCTATTTAATGAGATCGATCTACATACAAACCTTTTATGGTTTCAGAGATATGTCTTGGACAAAGTTCATTGTGAAAAATAAGTAACAAATGGCAGTAATCCCAAAACTAGGCAAGCCAGAGTTATGGCTCTTTTGCCCTGCACTTTTATTTAAAGCTGCAAGCCTCCAGATGAGCCAAAATATTTCAAGAAAATCAAACTTTTGAAAAACACACAAATAATGTAAGAAAATTAAATAAATCCAAGATTCAAGTAATATTTTTTATCTTATGTGCGATTATTGACTAATTTTGCGGTATTGATCATCATATTTCTACTGCGTTACTAACGCATAAAGGGCTATTTTTGCATATTTCGACCCCTTTTTGGTTATTTACGTGGATTGTAAGTGTCATTTGTAAATTACTCTCTTTGTTCACTTTGCAATAGTTTACTTTTAAATACATTTAAAAAATTTCGTGAAAATAAGGATAAATCTGGAGGCGTGCTGCTTTAATGAGATCTATCTACCAATAAAGGTTCATGATGATCTCTCATATAGTTTCAGAGGTATGTTCCGGACAGAGTTCAAAGTGTAAACATGAACAAAGAGCAATAACTCAAAATTTGGCAAGGCATAGTTAAGGTTCTTATGCAATACACTTTTATTAAATGAGCTCTATCTACCCATTAAGTTTCATGCTGATATCTCTTATAGTTTAAGAGTTATATCCCGGACAAAGTTCAAAGTGTAAAATTAACAAAGGGTAATAACTCTTAAAAAAGGCAAGGCAAAGTTATGGTTCTTTAGCAATGCAATTTCAACTAAAGAAATATATCTACCTACAAAGCTTTATGTTGATATTTCTTATAACTTTCAAGTTATAGCCCGGACAAAGTTCAAAGTGTTAAAATTAACAAAGGGCATAAGTTTTGGAACAAATGTCAGCTACGCTAAATCGATTCGCATTATATCATGTGCTCAAAGGCACTCTTATAATATAGTTCATGTAAATAAATGCTTAAATATATATCAATACATATCAATACTGAGATCTTTTAACAGATAATTTTATTAGCAAATAGATAATTCAAACTTGTCGAGTGCTTAAAAAGTATCTTGGTTATTGGGTTAATTAAGCATTATTTCTCCTATTTTATTTGGTATCAGAGGTGTATAACTCAAACCCGAACTCTGAGGAACTCCAGATGTTACATGTTTCAATTTTGATGTGCTGCTATTAACCACTACCGATACTCAGTGGTTGTGTTTTCACATCTATATCTAGGCCGGAGAGATGTTGACCTTGTTTTCGTGTGATTCAAGGAACATGACCTCTAGCTTATCAGAGATATTTAAGAAATGATTTGAGGTCATGATCTTTAGCAAGAGTGATGTTTCTTTTACAGGGATATTCATGAAATGATAAGAATACATAATAAGGTCATTATCTATATTGTGATGACCTTTAATCTGTTTTCAAAAATAGGTAATGCTTAATTATCTGAACCATTAAAGTCAAAGTTAGATACAGTTATGCCAGACAGCAGATACCTTAATATTTATCAAGTAAGAATACTTTAATTTTGGGTCATTATTATACATAAGGCATTGTATCTGAACATCAGACACATCTGCACTTGCTAGAATATGACATTGACCATCCCCCAAACACCTTTCCTCCCAAATTCACTAGACAATCCTGCATTATGGCAAAGTTTAATTGTATAGATACAAAAAAATCTACGTCTCTTCCCTTTATTAAGTAATATAGAAATGCGGTGGCATAACCTCAACAAATTTAATCCTCATTTTTATTTTTAGGAATTTTGATGAACATGATACAAGAATGTTTGATGAGCAATACGTACTTTAGTTCTATCTAAATTGATCAATATGTTCAGTGATTTTCCATAATGCCTTGCAAGTATATAAAACTTCCTATTTCGATCACAAGTTTTTGGTTTGTAAATTCAACTATTTTATAATGTTTTCAAAAATTCTTTGCTACGTTCTGTTATTGCTTACATCCGTATGTTATGTATAGTGGTGTCGGAGCAGTATCCGTCGGCTAGTAGTATCCGATATTACGGTTATTTTCGTTTACCGCATTTCTTCAAAGTTGAAGGTACGGCTTTTTTCAGAACGCTATCATCAAAGGACACGCTTGACTGAATTTTCTTGTATCAAAGGTCAACATTAGATGTAATCGTTCTTACCTTTAGATTTTACAATCAGGTGTGTTTTCACAGGGGGATTTCAAATACTAATAATGCGCATGCTCAAAGGATAACTTTATTAGGCCCTAATTAAGACAAATTTTCCCCAATTTCCTGCAAAATAAGGCGACGTTGTAAAAGTCCCCAATAGTCTTTAAATACCATAATAATCAATCATTTTAAGCTAAAACTTTGTATTTTTTGTCATTTTTGACCAACAGATTCTGAAAATTAAATAAAAAAGGCATAAAATAGGAAAACCGCTGCTCAATTTTTCTAACCAAAAGAGGCAATTCTGAATATCAAAGACTGTACTTGAACGGTGATTGTTTCCCGTATACATGACTATTTTTATTCTGGGGCACTTTATGGGGTGTTTAGGATAATTTAACACTCAAAACAAAAACAAACAAGAGGGTCATGATGGCCCTGAGTCGCTCACAAGAAACAGCTGCATTTCAGTGTTGGAATGTCAATATATTCTTATATCAAATTTGAGCATAGAATATGTTTAAATAATAATATGAAGAAATGCCATGACCTGGGGCATTTAAGCTTTTAATAAGCTTAGACGGGGCTATTCAAATTAATATGAGTAAACTTGATAAAAAGACTACCTAAGCATGCTACAAAGTGTGGTGACCATCTATCCATTATATCAGTAGGGATATGTTCGAAGACTTTTTTCTATTTTTAGCTTTAGTGGTCCCTTAAGGGGTCTAATCAAATTGATTTAAGCAAACTTTATAAAAGAGTACCCAAGAATGTTACAGACACAATTTGGTGATCATCCATCAATTGGTTCGGAAGCAGATGATGTTTAAAGTTTTTTAATTAGTCAATTAGTCCTGTAGCAATAGACGTTTAAATGTATATCTATTTTTAGATTTGGCGGCCCCTAAGAGGGGCCAATCAAAATAATATGAGCAAGTTGATAAAAGACTACCCAAGAATGCTACAGACAAAGTTAAGTGATCATCCATCAATTTGTTTTGTAGAAATAGACGTTTAAAGGTATCTTTATGTTCAGCTTTTGCGGCCCCTAAAAGAGGCCAATCAAAAAAATATTTACAAATTTGATAAAAGACTACACAAGAATGCTACAGGCAAAGTTTGGTGATCATCCATCAATAAGTTCTCTAGAAATAGACATTTAATGGTATTTCTTTTTTTAGCTTAAGTGGCCTCTTAAAGGGGTCAAATAAATTATTATGAGCAAAAAGTGAGTTCCCAGAACAACTTTATCTGATCATGTTAAAAAAACAGACATAAGATCAAAAAAGGGCCCAGAGAAACAGCTTACTAAAGAAGAGACAGATGGGCTGGTCAATTACGTTCTATACATGGCCGGACAAGGGTTTTCGCTCACAAGAACGATGGTCAGATGCTACGTTCAGGTATGTTATTTCAAATCTACCGGCAATATTATATTTCAAAATTAAAAATAGGCAAAATGTTTCCTTGTAATACAGGACAAAACACTTACTTTAATGTTGGTAGTTGCGAGTCGCTCTAACACACGCGCGTGCCCACTCGCATCTTCCAAAATATATTTTTAATATTTTAAAAAATGATAAACAAGATCGACAAGGGAAGGCGGCGTTCAATGAAAGCAACCCCCATAAGACCCAGGAACGAGAACCATTGGCAAGGATTCAGGACGAACCCAAAACAAAAACGGGAAAGGGCATATGCACGGACAGGTTAATCACTGAAATTAAAAATAGTTTGTAACTGATAAGGAATTCAAAGAAAACACAAAGAAAACAAATAATTGATTGAATAATAGGAAATAATTTGTAACTGATAGGAAATTCAAAGAAAACAGATGATTAATTAATAGGCCCACAAAGTCAAAGGGCACAGGGGAAGGGGACAGGAGACCCGGGGAGGGGGGGATAAAGAAATAAGACAAGGGGCAAAGGGCAAGATACTAACCGTAGGCGATAAAATAAGGGACACAAGCAGAAGCGTCACCAAAACAGTATGAAACAACATAGACATACATCTGAGGAGCACAGAGGGGCGTCGCCTTGGAACGGTCAGCAGCACAAGTACTGCTGGGGAGTTTAAACCGGTTAATGGTGCAACAAACCTCACTCTTAGCCCCACCATGTTCCTATAAAATAAATATGAATAGTTTCAAAAGGTTAAATAAGTAAGACACCAAAATGATCATGTACAAACATATTAAAGTAAACCCAATGTCCATTACAAAAGTACTCAATGTCCTAAAGGAAGACAGAGCAACAAGAAAAAAACCTACAAGGGCCCGACGAAGCAAGGCAGAAGACGAACATTAAGACAATTCAGTCAAAAGGGGCTTTAAGATCTGTCCATCATAGGGTCTTCCACTTGGTCCGTCAGATGTAATCAAAAGAGGAAAGCGTAGTTTGCAGCTGTAAAAGGGTCATAACCTCTTTTAATAAAATGTTTAATGATTTTAGTAAACACAGCAAAACATTTAAGATAAAGAGTAAATTGGTATCTGAATATGCGCAACTCGCATCAAGAAGCCAGAGAGCCGGGGCAGAGGCAGAAGCAGAATGTCAAACAAAACAGTTTCAGATGATTTTAATAATTTTGGACGTATGTTAAAAACATAACGTAATAGACAAGCCATCTCAGGTGTGTTGAGCAATAAAAAAACACTAGTTTTCAAATGTTGAAAAGTCGTATATAGTAAAATTATCTCACTATTCTTTATTAAGACACATGTACATAATCTAACTCGGTATCGACGACGACGACCATCAAGTAAAAAAAACTTAAAATGTTTATTGCTTCATACTTAGTTAACTTATTAAGTTCTCATTTAAGCTTAGTGCAGGGACAGAAATAATTTGAATACGTCAATACGATGTTTAACGCTTTATCATAATATAATGTCTATGTGACTTTAGATCTAAAGACAATTAAACAGATTTGAATCTTCTATCAATAATATATAGCCTTTTCGATAACAATCCCTTTTTCACATTAAAAAAAAATCCAACTGCCTTGACCTTCTTTTTTTGTATAAAGTTTTTCAGGTGTTCAATTGCGACGAAACTGGCTGGTCAGGAAAAGAATGTGCCAGAGAAAAGGTAATTGGTCCAAAGTCTGGTCCACATATATCAACAAAACGTTGTGAGCAACGAACATGTGACAGCGCATCTATGCGTAACTGCTGACGGGACTTTCATCACAACCATTTAAATATCCGTGTATACGATGTAAAAGTGACTTTTCTTTAGAAAAAATAGTTTTTTTTCTATCTACACAGTTCTTTCATAGTACAATTTATACCCTTTATTTCAGGTTCACTGCTTTTCAGCGCTTCTGACAGTGGGTATATGGACACCAGCATATTTCTTCAATGGTTCATTAAAGCCTTCTTACCCAATTGTTGGAAAGACTGGCCAGTAGTCCTACTTATGGACAATCATGAATCATAGATATCCTTGCCTCTAGAAGAAATTGCCAGAAAGCATAATGTGATACTTGTTTGGCTACCACCCCATATTTCGCACGGGCCTTGAATGTAAAAATAATAGGGCCATTAAAACATAAGGTGACCAGTCTTGCCTCGAGTGTTGGTTTTGCTCGACCTGGCTACAGTATAGGCAAGACTCGGTTACCTATCTTGCTGAGCTATGCCACCGGCCAGACTGCACCGAGCGCTGTCAATTAGGCATTTAGATTGGCTGGTATAATGCAAGTCAATCCTGAAGTAATCGACGCCAGCTAGCTTATACCACCAACCTTCCTTATAGAGGAACGTGGAACAAACGAGGCCACAAGAACATGCGGGACATGCGGCTAATTCATGGGGGGGGGGGGAATCCACTGGAAACAGAGTGGTGGTTCCGGCATGCATGGCAGAAAGTTTTAATCCCACCACCAGCAAAGCTTCTATCCCAAAAGAAACAACCTAGCAAGGCAGTCACTAGTGGAAGGGTGTTATCGGGAGATGAAATGCTCCAAATACTAAAGATAAATCAATTAAAACGCCGAAATACTCGAGTAAAGCAAATATATCAATACTACAGTAACTAGTTTCAATATTTCTGTAATCATTTTCCTCTTCATTCTGAATTTTTTCATACATGTTAGAAAGAAGTTTTACATCATAAAAAGCATTTAATTTAAGAATGTCCGATTAATTGCAGGAACGTGAAGAGACAGAAATAAAGAGACAGGAAGAAAAGAAAAAAAAACGTGAAGAAGTGTGGGATTTGAAACGTAAACAGAAATTAGTGGAAGATGAGTTAAAGGCTGCGAAAAGACAGGAAAAATGAAAGAGAACAAGAAAGTTAAAAGAGAGAGAAAGAAATGAGAAATTTGTGAAATTAGCAGATAAAAGTATACGTGTGGTGTTTGTGGTGACAGAGGAAGGGTAAATAATGAACAATATGGTTTTGAATGGTATGGTTGTGATAATGAATTATGTGTAACAACAGGTTGGAATCACTGTTTGTGTGAAAGCGAGAGGAAAGTTATAAGAGAGAGTTTGAATGACAAATGACCTACAGTGGTTCTCACGTCTTTATGAGGAAGAATAAATGATAAACGTTAAGCAACCACAACTTTTGAGACAAGACAAATGAGTTAATAATATATCTCGATTTATATGAAAAGGAAAGATGGTACATTTTTATATGTCATATGTTGTTAATTCATGTTATCATATTTTTTTATTTATTAGAATTCTATTTATGTTCCACATAGTATTTGAAGATTAATTTTATTTCTCACTTTACAATTTGTTATCGAATTGCACTCATGCTTCTAATTATAATATGGTCTTGGAAAGTGTTGATTCTTATTTCTGTGACCATGAGTGGTGAAGTTGGGAAACAACATGTTTTCTTAATATTTCTCCCTTGTAAAAAATATCAAATAATTTTGTTGACTAAATCATTGCAGAATTATATTTTATCTATTCAACAATCCTTCGAATTTCCTAGTAAAACACCAAATGAAACGAAAATATTTTGTTTAAAATGTATTTAAAGTTCTTTACAGATTAAAAAAAACCCCGCAAAATCGACGATTTGAAATATGTGACGGACTCCGCTTCTATCGTGATTCAATTACGGCTAATTTATACCCCTCATTGGAGCCCCATTTGAGACACGCATGCTCACTAACGGATTCCGTTTTTTATTAAAAAAAAAACACAAGGCATGACCTCAACTACTTATTTACAAAATTTTATATCAATCGGAGAAGTTTTGTGTAAAATTTCTTCAAAAAAACATCATATTAACGGATACTGTTTCGATACCAGTATCATGTTATATATCACAAACATATTTGAGGTTAACTTCAAAATTAATTGTTATCTGTCAGATAATTCACTATATGTTTTGGCTGAAAACATAATGGATATTAATTTTGACTCAAGTAATAGGACTTTTCATGCACAATTTCTCATGAACTGTTCTTGTACTTTAAAGTGGCACAAACACAGGAAACTTTCATGAATAGTAGTTCTTGAACAATTCTTTCATTTTTGTTAATATAAAATATCACAATGAATTTATACTTGAGGAACTTCTTGAAAACTTCTTGTTACGGAATCGTTTTATGAACAATTCCACAGTAACTCAAGCAAGCACTTCAAGAACATTTTATATATTTTCTGGCATTAACAATTTATGCGATGTTCTAATTTTAGTACTTTAAAAACTATGTTGGAGCCTCGAACAGTTCAAAATTAAATTCTAAACTTTTTAAGAATTCGTGCCATTTTCTCTTTGTACAGAGCCTGTAAACTATTCATGAATTCAGTTCTTCAGCGGGAATGAATTTATCATTAAATACTCAATGTATTCAATTTCACTTTATTTAAACGGTCTAATAGAAAGTGATATAAGAGGTAAAAGATTAATAAATAAATAATTATCGATTCATATGAGTTTAAAATAAACATCATTATATTGTTGCATTTTAAATAATATTTATTTAAGCTGTAAAGTTCTCATAATATTATGTTGAAAAACATGAAAACATGGACATCATCTATAGTTTTATTTTTTTATTTCCTTTTAAAGACTTTGTATGTTACATTATGACACTTGGTGTATTTAACTTTTCATTTATTTACTTAAAAATTAAAAAAAATCTAGTGATTGCCTAGCACTTGTTGTACCGCGTAGTAGGACTGTGACTTATGGTGATCGTGTTTTTATGACGGCAGCCCATAAACTCTTGAATGCCCTACCTAGAACACTTAAAAGCTGTGAAACTCTAACAGTGTTTAAGAGAGCACTTAAAACTCATTTATTTAAGAGGTTTTATTTGGACTGATCATTTTTTAGGTTCTTACCTAAATTTTATTATTTATGTGGGTCTTTTTAACTTTTTTTAAACTACATTTGATTTGAATTTGTGACTTGAACAATATTGATGTTTTCTTCTTTTTTTCTTTTAAATATAGTATCATTTATTTGGTTATACTGTACAGTACTTTTGAACTTGTCAATGCGCATGAAAAAAGTGCTTAACAAGTTAGGTATATAATAATAATAATAATAATAATAATAATAATAATAATAATAATAATAGCATATAAAATCGAAGAAAATACGAAAATGCATGTTCATGAACATGTCTTTAGTTTCAAGTTTTATCCACTATGACTGTGATGCTAAACAGAACATTTTCAAAGGCACATGTAACACAATATTGAGACGTTAAGAATATTCATCTGATTGGTAGCGAAATAACACACATTTTATCCAATATAGCGTAGAATATTTTCTTATTCTAGGTAAATGAACACTTCACTATATTTTTCAGCTCACAAAAATATATCCAAACTTTTATGCTTTACTGAACAGAACAGAACATACACACTATTTAGAAAAAACATAGATTACAAATGGTGAAATTCTGCAATAACATGCATAATAATATCCTAAAGAAAATTGAAATTGTCAATTATTAGTTCGAAAAAAAGGAAACATAATAATCAATTAGAATCGTTTGCTTTAATTGGTATCGTTTTGACTGTTTAAGTTTAGATATTCATTTTGCTATTTAGATTTTCTGAAACATTAAGGTCCGTATCATTGAGAAAATCCAATATAATTTCCTAACGGTCAAGACAGTCCTCAAGCTTTCAGTAAAGTAGTATTCAGATTATAAAGTAATTGTGGAGTGAACTCAGAAAAGTTGAGAATCGATGAGACTAGGAGGGGACTTCCTTAAGGTGTCCTCAATAAAATAGTATTGATTTTGAATTAATTTCGTCCCATATACATTTAAGTGATTATATACGCAAACTGACAGTATTTAAGAAAATGAATGTTGAAAAACGGATACTTAGGGATTGAGATGATCCCAATAAATTTATGTCAGAAGTTAAATGTTATCAGAAATATCGATTTTCGAAGGAGTGTGCACAACTTATACACGGAATTATATAAGTAGTATGAACTATTAAGAGTGTATTCAGCTCGCGGGTACGGTGGCACAAAGGTGATATGTGTGTGTTTTTACTTATCTCGTGGCTACGAGATACTATGTCGTGGCCATGAGTTACTACGTCGTGGCCACGAGATAGCTAAGTCTAGGCCACGAGATACTATGTCGTGGCCACGAGTTACTAAGTCGTGGCTACGAGATAGATAAGTCGTGGACACGAGATACTATGACGTGGCCACGAGTTACTAGGTAATATGACTAATATTTGATATGCAAGAAAAACAATCAAACAGTGGCTATTGTCATAGACGGAAATATTTAGCTCCCTTAAACTCGGCAAAGCCTCGTTACCTCCTTAAACTGTCACCCTCGAGCTAGATATCCGTCTGGACCTGAAGTTGATGTAAGATACTAATATTTGATGATCATTACTAAATATGTACTACATGAAACTTTAATTTATTAGCTCATCTGAGCACAAGACAGGAGCAGTGTTTACGTCGTCCGTCGGTCGTCGTCCATTTATACACGCAAATTGATTAAGCAACAACTCCCCCTAACCACATCACTTTGAATTCTTTTTTATTCTTATAAGCGTCTCATGTATTGCATAAATTGTGCTTCTGTATTCAACAGCATTCCTTTAACTGTTTAATACTTTGTCCTTAGACTACGAGTTACCTAATCAAGAATTTTATGAAACATTGAAAAATCAATTTAGTTGTAATTGACAAAAAAAATGCTCCAATAGATATAGGTATTAAAAGATAAAATAATAATGTCCTAACCTAAGAAAAAATGACAGTTCCGGTCTATAAACTTTTTCAGTTGACACATGTCAAAATCTTTTAAGTTCCAAATATAGATTTATGTTTTTTTTCAGTCGCCAACTGCTCATTCACCATGCAATGTAGAGAAACGTCTTTGAAACATTTTTGATTTTTACTTTAGAAATGATGAAACGCGTGGTGAAAATGAATGGTAAGTTTTTTATAACATACTGTAAGTCATTTAATTAAAAAACTGTTTTTTTATAAATACAAATGTTATTAAGATTTCATTTTTTTTCTCAACCGGAAATTCTAGCAGACGAAAACTTGTTTTTATCTACTTTGAATGTATTGTCGTTAATCTTTGCATATAAAGTAATATTTCATCGAGGATTTCGATTACTTAATTGGATATTAGGCTTCAAAAATAGTTGTATCTTCTTTAAAAACGCACTTTAATATCGTCTTCAAAACAGCCAAGGTTCCATCTAACCAGGAGTATTTATACATGATGTAGAGGTTAAAAGGTCAAGTTCAAATAGCACAAACAAACAAGTGTGTTGTTTCCTCCAATTACAGGCGTAAAATGAACACATAGAGCACTGGGCTTGGGACTTTTACATGTACATAAAAACATTTCATTGCAGTTGTGATATATTGAAAAGTAATAATGTTAAACTTAAAAATATATTTGAGTAACAATCACTGAATATTATTATGTTTATGGCCGACGATACAAAAGTTCACAAACATAATGAGTGATAACACAACAAAAAATATTGTAAACCTAGCAAAATTTATATACTATGCTAATAATATCCGAACAAAAAATTAAAAAAAAAATTCTTAAGAATACTCACATTTCAGCTGAAAAAAAATCCACTATAGAATTGACACAACAACAAAGAACACGTCACGTGGCCAATAGTAATATTCAACAGTCATTCACAAACTTTAAATATCGATGAAATATAGACAAAATAGCAGATGACACATTCATGGTATACTAACACACTGACGCAACCACGTGGTAAATAGTAGTTCACAGTTATTGTTAAGCTTGAGGATCACATAGTTTTTGAAATATATAATCTTTT